CTTGGCAGGAGCAGGCTGGGCCACGGGTGTGGGCTGCTTGGCAGGAGCAGGCTGGGCCACGGGAGTGGGCTGCTTGACGAAAGCAGGCTGGGCCACGGGAGTGGGCTGCTCGTCGGGAGCAGGTTGGGTCACGAGAGCAGGCTGCTTGGCAGGAGCAGGTTGGGCCGTGAGAGTGGGTTGCTTGACGGGAGCAGGCTGGATCACGGGAGCAGGCTGCTCAATGCGCGGTGCATGTGAATGCGAGGCTTGGGCTTGGGTCCACGTAAACTTGGATGGCACGGCTCGGGCCGTGGTGAAGGCTCCATGGACCTCGCCACGATTGGCTACCGAAGTAGCCACCGCGGTGGTTCCCATGGTGGCCGTGGTGAAGGCACCATGGACCTCGCCGTGGGTGGCTACCGAGGTAGCCACCGCGGTGGTTCCCATGGTGGAAACTCGTGGTGGTGATGCCGCTCCCCTTATTGTCGCATTTTGCCTCACGGATCTCCGGGCCGTGGTGAAGGCTCCATGGACCTCGCCACGAGTGGCTACCGAAGTAGCCACCGCGGTGGTTCCCATAGTGGCCGTGGTGAAGGCACCATGGACCTCGCCGCGGGTGGCTACCGAGGTAGCCACCACGGTGGTTCCCATGGTGAAAGCTCGTGATGATGATGCCGCTCCCCTTATTGTCGCATTTAGCCTCACGGATCTCCGCAATCCCATTTCTTGAACATTAGAATTTTCACTTGTGGAATTTTCTAAATTTCTAGCCATTATATTTTGCTTATACGTTTTATCAAAGAACCTTTGCAAGTAAAAAATTCTAATAATAAGAACGTATGAAAAATATTCAAATGGACTAGAAAATAAAGAAAAAACCTTTTTGTGCGAGAGTCTTCTACGAGTATGGATTTCAACTCTCAATGAAAGCACCAATTTGTGGATGCAAATTTTCTCCTCTTCGATCTTGGACGATTTTGCACCTACAAAACAACTAGCACCTTAGGTTAAGGCCAAGAGCCTCACGCGCCCACGATGAATGGGGGGGGCTTTGGCCGAAGAACCTCCGATGCCAAAGTTAGAATTTTAGAGAGAAATAGTGTTTGGAGTATTTGTGATTTTTTGTGAGAGAGTTGGAATGAATTTTTGGTGAGAATATGTGTTTATTTATAGAGTTAGGGTTTGCCCTATTTGAATAATAGTAGCCAGCCATAGGGTTTTTGTGGGGGTTAATTTCATGTTTAATTTGCCAATTTATTGGCTAATTAAATATGAAAATAATAAATGGGTGGTTGTTATAAAAATGAATGATTATTTTAATAAGGAAAATGGGAAAGATGAGGATGTTATGGAATGTTTGAAATAAATGGCTAATTGAATAAGGAAAAAATGAGGTAAAAACATATATGAAATAGGTTTTGAATTGTTACCCATTTTGGGTACTCCTGACTTGGTTGATGGATGATTCTCCACTGCTCGCGTGTAGGAGACCCGGTATGCCTCCAGGGTATTTTTGTCCTATTTTGTCCAAAAATCCACGTGTCGCCTAGTGAATATTTTTGGCTCCACAATTATGACGGCGTTATCCACACACTACATTTGAACTTTTACATATCTTTCATAATTTTTTACTTTCGAATCAAATAAATTGGAGAAAATCAAAGGATAAAATTTAACAAGAGATTGTGTAAAAAGTAAAAGAATGTGTGGATAACACAACCTAATATTATGATCACTTATACAATTTGGTTCTTTATATTTGTGCCCATGCAGAACAAAAATGTAATTTGTACGGTGAAGAAAAATTATTGTAATATTTTAGTTTTATTGTACCAAGACATTAATTTTAAATTTTAATGGTACTAAAACATTATTTTAAAATTTATTGTACCAAACCATTAATTCTTTATTTATTATTCAAGGTCAAATTGTTCAATTATAAATTTTTAGTTGAATAAACTTTTGTATCATAAATAATATTAACAACGGCATTAAGATTGTTTATCTTCTTTTATTCGAAAGGTTTTCGTTATAACTTTTTTGTTTTATAGAAAAAAAAATTGAATAATTGCAAGTAACCTTTTACCACAGTGGTAGAAAGAAGCCGAGCTCTTGCATGGCAGCGTAAATTCAAATCTCATCAGTAGCTAATATAACCCGTGTCACTCATTTTAAATGTATTATATGCACTGATAAATATCTAAATTACTAGTCATATAATACACATTTCACTTTCGAGTTTGGTGCTAAATTAAATAAATAAATAAATAACATGTGCATTGAAAAATATCTAAATTACCGTGTCATTTTTCGTTAAAACTCCCTTATATTTTTAAATAAAATAAATAAAAAACATGTGCATTGAAAAATAAAAAATAAAAACAAGATACAAATATAAAAGGACATGTAATGCTAAGGAAATTAAATTTGTAGAGAAAGTTTTGGAAATTAAGAGACATAGAAGTTGATAATTGGTTTATTACTTAAACGTTGATAAACATGCTTATTTCCATTGATTACACATCATTTAATTTATAAATTTAATCTCTCTAGCATTATTCATAAAATGACATACTAGATGTAAGACTAGTCTACTGCCATATATTGTGGCAGGGGCCCACGTGGCAGCTGTGAAGAGAATTTTAAACCAATAAGCAAATAATCAAATTACAAAGGTAGACTCGAAACACTAAAATTAGTAAACTCCATGAGGAACGTTCGTGCATGTCCCGGATAGCAACAGCTTTAAGAACTTAAGGGTTTATTCGGAATTATATTTAAAATAACTGAAAATGTTTTTTGTGAAAGCGATTTTAGAGTCAATTTTTAGTAAAAATTCAAGTGAATATTATAAAATCACTTGAAGTGCTTCTTGCAAAAAACACTTGAACTGCTTTTAAAACCGAAAAACATTTTCACTAAAAATACATTCAATCATTTTAAAAACACTTCCAAAAGAGTCATAATAATATTGTATCATCAATTTTTCTAGAAGATGAACAACAAGAAGATATTTGACACAGGATATATGGGACCTTTGCCTTTGGTGGTGGGGATTGGGATTGGGATTGGGATTGGGAATGCAGTGCACGTCCTTCAAAGGCTTTGCTTGCCACAATTATTTCATCAATCAATTCCCACACCTTTGAAAATTGAATTTAGCTTTTGTTTCATGGAATGACAGAGCCAGAATTCAATTAATTCCCACACCATTTAAATTCTATTATGCAAACACAGTAAAATATATCACACATGTCATAAATTTTGAATTCTCTATCACTTCGTATTTTTTATAATGTTTTATATTATTAACATAAGAATAAATATTAAATCGTGATGTGACAAATAGTTCATAAAAAATTAAGATAGTCAGAGTAGCATCCATTTCCATTGAAAAAAATATTGGAGTACGCCCGTTACTCCAAAAGATTTAGGTGGGTCTATCTGCCCCATCGACGCGAAGCTGGATAAAGCCCGAACCTTTTGTTTGTTTCCAGCTACTTTATCCTTGGGATCAACATTTTTCAGTCTTATATGGATTTGAAATTTATGGAAGCACCGAAATTGAAAATTAATATTTGGACATACAATTTACGTAACTCCTACCAACCTCAACAAAAAAAAATTATTAACTAATTTACGAGTTATAATAAATGTTGAACAATATTTTTATGTTTTAAGCTATATAATGGATAAAAGTGTTACCTCAAATTTGAACCATCAATTTTTAATATAGATAAATTTTGAAGCACTTCTGGTAAAAATATTTTTTAATTAAAATTAAAAATATTTTTTGGAAATAGACTTAGAAATGCTTCATGAAGAAAAACACGGTAAGTGATTCTCCAAAAATGCTTTTGCAACCTAAAAATAGAATCAAGTTATTTTAACGTAGTTAGAACGGATTATTCTATTGTTGTTAGAAAATCACTTAGTCTTTTTAAAAGCAATTTCAAACAAGAATCGATCTCAATCTCTTACCACTTTGACACATGATTTATGCATGGCTATGTAATGTATCCAAATCTCCACAACCAAAGTAAAAGAGAAGAGAAAAAATCCCTACGACCAAAGAGATAAGAAAACAAGTGAAAGTTCGAAGGGAATGGCCGTATCACATTCATATGGCCAAACCAAAGTTGACCAACGTTAATTGTCATCTGGGAGGTAGTTAAAGGAGTTGACTCACGTGCCGTCCAGGTAAATCTGCACGCCAACTTATGTTGCATCTAGGTTTTACTTTCTGTACGTCTTATTACAAACACCGATCCAACAATCTTCACACTTCGTACATCACCCATGAACCCATCATTTCACCAACATATGATTTACTAATATCCTCGAGGGGACGACGAGAGAAACCTGATTGCAATTTTAACATAGCAATATTTAAATTTATTACGTATAATTATGTATTTTAATTTGTACACATAACATCATGCAATTAATTTGTAATATCATCGCTCTAACATCTTAGTTACATGTAAGTCCTCTTTAAAAACGAGTTATTTGCTCTACTACATGAATTTCTGGTATCTTCGATATCATCACCCTGACGTCTTAGACCATCTTTAAAAGAGATGTCAAATTTTGAACATAAAATTTAAATTTTGATAGCTTATGTGGCACTTTGAAATCTTTTAAAGTTTTGTTCTCCAATCGATATGTCAAATTAAATTATTATTTTATTATTTTATAAAATAAATTATTAAACTAATTAAAATTTAATAAAGAACATTTAAAGTTTAATCAATAATTTGTTCACCTTCCTTGATTGAAAAGAAGAAAAATGTAGAATAATTACATCGGTCAACTCAACATTAATTATAATAAATGATTAAACTAATTAAAATTAATAAAATACATTTAATAATTAATAAAATAAAATAAACATTTGAAGCTGCTGTCAAATTTGACAGCAACCTCTTTTGCTGCCAATCCATGTCATCGCCACATAGAATTTGACACTTTGGTTGAAGAATATTAGTATGGTCTTTTTTTACTGTTATAGCTGATGTGTACATTTTGGCATCTCCTTTGGAGATGCTCTTAGTCGCTTGATTTTCTCACAATTTGTAAGGTTGGGTATCCCTAATGAATTTTGTAACAATGGTCATCAAATTCAACTTAACATTGTTGTCTCCAAGTTCTTCTCAAACATTGTTGTCTCCAAGGAAAACCAGGCAACTGGAGTTTAAAATATATAACTTCCTAGGCTTGGATTTTATAACAGTATCACTGAGCTCATAGATTAGGATTTGAATTTGAAACTAATAAAATAACGTACCCAGTGCACAAGGCTCCCGCTTTACGTAGGGTCTGGGAGAGGTGAATGTCGGCTAGCCTTACCCCCATTTTGAATTTGAAACTAATAATAATATAAAAAATATAAAAAAAAATGGAAACAAAAAAAAAAACCAAAGAAGAAATAGTTGAAGCACTTGACATTGCATGGTCAGCCCAAAAATTAATCAAGGTGGGCTGAAGCCACCATGGCCCAACCTGTTCTACATCTACAACATGAACATTTTAAGAAGAAAATGCATCGACGTTAGGAGAAAAATTTGAGGAGTGCCCGACACGAGTTCAGGGCCTACCTAAGTTTCTCTCCCAAGACAGTTATATAAATTTACCTATTTGCTGAAGAAGCTGTGTGGTGGGAGGATCAGTGTGAGCAGAACAATATACAGCATGCTCCAATTGCAACGCCCAAATCTTGATAATCCTTGAGATTTTAAGATTATGCATTAGTCTCTTGCATCCTCCTACTTGTATGCTTGTAAACTTTAATCAAATGGTTAAAATTATTAGGTGGGAGTATAGACGAACCTAATTCAGAGCGTGTGAGGCTTCATCTTGGGTTGTTGAGCACTCTGAATCTATATGCATTGATATTGTGCAATTATCCTGACCATTACATTACACAAGAAAGAAATCGATCAATCTGTTTAAGCTGATTGCTAATGCATTAGAAGAATTAGACAAGATTACTAATCATCACAAGTATTCACTGAGAAAACAGTTTGTAGGCCAACTCCGTACCTTTCTATCACTTACTGAGATACTTAGAACAGTAGCTTCCAATTGAGGTTTTGAGGAAGCCGACTGTGGGGAACAACAGTTAAACTGCCAGTGCAATGTTAAACAAGATTATTCAATGCAGAATGACCAATCGATGAGTTTTTCAATTTACAACCAGTAAAATTCACTTGCCTCTGACACGCATGAGTCCAAGTTATTGTTCTCTTGTAAGTTGTTCCCAGCTGACTTGCACTTTTGAGATAGATGTGAAGCTGCAAGTTTTTGAAATGTCCATATAAGTAGAGTACATGTATACATCAACTCTCAACTTTCTTTCTCTTAGAAAGAATAAGTGAAGTAAAGCAGCCCTCGGAAGCAAAATTGTTTGCATCGAACATGGTATTTGAAGTGAGACAATATCTTCACTCGCAGTGAGTGTATCATTTTCTTTTTTGATAAGCAAGTGTATCATTTTCTGATACATGAGGTTCCAGAAGCAGAAAGGTTTTCAGGACAAACCTGTATTTCCTCCATCGCCAGACCCGTAAGCCTTTTCTTGAGATTTTCCTGTATATTTCTGGACTGCATCTTCAATCCTGGAAAGTTAATAACAATGTTAAGTTAAAATTAATGAAAAACCACCCATTGTGCACTACTGCGTAGATGGTAAGAGTATGAGCACTACCTATTATCTTCCTTCGTCAAAATCATATTGCATCCTCCTTGGTGTTCCAGAATTGAGGAAAATACCCCTTTGTCCTGAAAAATAAATTGACGACAGTTCCCACAAGGAAGCAATGAGTGTCTTCACTAGAAGATCAATCAGAAGATGTTGGGGAAAGTTCTACATGCATCACAAGAGGCAAAACCATAAAACTTAAGAAATCACACCATATATCCATATGCGTTATATGTTAAATTGTTAATTGACCAATTGGAAATGTGGCGTTCAATAAAACTTTGAATGTGAATTCATCAAGTGAAAGCATGGCAGGTTAAACCTAAACTGAAACTTTTAAAGCCAAAATGAAACTTTTTCTACCTCTTCATTCATACTTTTAACAGTGTCCTGAATCCTCCTTAAGATAATCCCCAAACTTCCAACTTCAAAATGCAATGCCTGATCATGGAGTTCATCAAGTAAGTTTAGAAGTCAATAGCATAACTCGGTAAGGTCTAAACAAAAACAAAAACAATATGAAATTTAGACCTGTTTTTCTGAAATCAAATTCTGTATGACCGCATCCTTTGCTGATATAACTTTTTGAAGGTAAGGGTGGTTAAGAAGACCTTGATGAGAAAAATTTTGGCTAAAACAGTAGACTAGTTTTACGAATCAATCGAACAAATGAATCTCTGATGCATGGATATATCTTCTATTTGTGTCTGGCTTCTATTACAAATTTTTGCTGCCTCCATCTGAGCTTCTAGTTCTGAGATGGCTTTATCCTTTCTCCGAGTCTCGTCTTCATAATTTTTTAGTTTGTTTTCCAGGTCACTGATCTTTTCTGCATAAATTAGTACATGGTCAATAAATTATTAGTGGTTTCAAATTTAACCTTTCCTTCAACAATTTAATAACGTAATTTACAACATCGAAGAATTGATATATAATGATAACTTGGAGTTACCAATAAATACTTTCTCGAATGTGGAAACAGTATCCAATTTGCTCTTTAAGCCTGCCACTGTGAACAAAGCAGTGAGTTAGGAGGAATCTGATGCTGCAACTTCAAATGGAATATAAGCATACAGTAACAATTTAAAATGTTGCTTGCCTACTTCCTCTTTCTCACTAACAACGCGTTGCACATTATCCACAACTTTCTTTACCAAAATTGCCTCCTTTTCTATTGAATCGAATAGCAAAAGATGAGATTTTATCTTCTCAGATAGGAAAGCAAGCTTTCTGTCCCCGCATTGAATCGAGCGTTTCATTTCACAAGTGGATTCCTAAACATGAACATGACACCAGTGAGTCATATTTCGGTTAAATATGTTCGATACAAAATTCATCACGGGATCAAAAAACACTGACAACATTGCATGGTAATCTCTCTCGATGTCAAATTTCCAACGAACCTGATAAGCGTTGACGAAATTTTCCCTGGACTGGAGTAGGTTATGAATCGTTCCCTTCAACTCCCTTTGCCTGTTCTCGAGCATAGAATTGTCACTCTGAAGGTAACTCACCTGCAAGAACAAGATTCGAAAAACAAAAAATTGGCTGTGATCTCTAACAAGCATTTCAACAAACACCTTCACCGCAAACAAAAACAATTACATAATCCCACAAACCTCTCTTTCGAGTTTCTGTCGCAGCTCATTGGAGGAAGCCAATTCCGCCAGCAATTCCTGCAACTTCCGGCCGCATTCTTCCTCGGTTTGCTTTTGTTTCTGTATCCAAACACTCCGTCAATACGAACAAGTAAACTCAATTGGAATCGGAGAGTAGTGATTGATTTTAAAAGGAAACCTGAATAAGAAGACGGAGCTGTTCGGCGGCGGAGCGTTCCCTTTCCTGAAAATGTGAATTCACAAAGGACGGTGAGGGAAAGGGAGATAATGGAGGTGGCGGCGATGAGAAATCTTACTCGGAGTTGTCGGACTTCGGAGATAAGAGTTTGAAGTTGGAGCTTGAATTTGGAGAATTTCAGCAACTCCATTTCCGTCTAGTGTAAAATAATAAAATTGTTTGGATGGCCGCCGGAAAAACGGCCTTCACCGCTTTTAATTCGCATTTGATTTTCCCGCCACTGAAATTTCGCCTTTTTTTTTTTTTTTTACTGTTTTTCCGTTTTACCTCTCATTTGACGCGAAATTTAACTTTTAAAAATCATCTAACTGGTAAAAATAATCCAAGTTTTAATTACCTTATTGAAACATTGGTTAAAGTGTAAACTCTGTCTCTCTCTCTCTCTCTTTTCTTTTATATTAAACTAGCATAGGGCCACACACAAAATGTGTGTCACAATTTTGCATTTTTGTTTTTGAAATTAAAGGAGAAAGGGAGAGAGACTTGGGATGGGAAGAGAGAGGAGAGAGCTTTACTTTTGGTGAGTAAATTGTAGTAAGGGGTGTGCTATCCACTCACCCTATTTTACTTCTTACACACCTCTTGATAATTTTTGTCCGTTGATCTTCTTCAATTCATTCAATCTGACGGTCAAAAATTAAAAAAGTATGTGAGAAGTAAAATGGGGTGTGTGGATATCACACCTCTTGTAGTAATTGTTCATCAACTTTAATCAAATTGGAGCAATGGTTCATCAACTAAAATATACTATCGTTGGTCCCTCAACTCATCAAAACATGTAGCTGTGGACATTTTCGTCAACTCCGTCAAAATTCTGTCAAAATTAGTTATGTTGGAAGGACCACTGCTACAATTGTGTTAAAGTTGAGGAACCATTGATACAATTTTTCTTATTTGATTTTTCATATTTGCCTCTTAATTTAGCCTCACGCGCATAGCACGTGACTCATTTTGACGGAAGTTCTAATGGAGTTGACAAAAATGATCATAGTTGCACGTTTTGATGAGTTGAGGGATCAATAGTAATAGATTTTTAATTGATGGATCATTGCTTCAATTGGGTTAAAGTTGAGATATCATTGTTACAATTTATTCTTTTATTTTTTTAATTAAAGATGTATTAGAATCACATGTAGGTGAGGTATTAAAAAAAAAAGCAAAATTTTGATTGTGTGAAATTACATTATTGCCCACATTTCTTATATATGTTCAGCTTTACTTAGAGGGTTAGAATGATAATTTCATGGGCTTTTAGTTGACAATGAAAATTTTATTAATATTTAGATATCTAGATAATTATTACAAAAAAAAATAATGCATGCATCTTTCATGGCAGACTTACTTGATAAATAATAGAAATTATTCACTCTTTATTATCGTCTAAAGATTACATATATAAAAAATTATTCATCTCGAAAATTTTTAAGTAAGCATAAAACAAATTGACCGCTCATTATAGGGGTTCTACTTGATACCAATATCGTTAATTGTCTTAACACGTACGGGTGACTAAAAGATTTTCAAATTGAATGATTTTTTGCAAAAAAATTGATTGGGTGATTTGAATGTTTATACTCTCAACCCTCGATCAATTTGGCCAATTAATCTGATCATCGACTACTTTGAATGTTTTCGCAATGTACAGCTACCTAGCACCAGATAAAATACTGGACACGTTTGACAGTTGTGTCTGAAATTAGTGTCCAAATAGGGTCGCAGGGATGATGAAAACATGTTGTGAGAAGAATTCAAAAACTTATCACGGATGTTCCCCATCTGCTTCTCCAGTTGGGCTGTCTGGCATTCCTCCATTTGCTTTAATTTATCTTTCAAATAAGCAGGATTTACAGCTCTCATTTCAAACACAAAATTAATAATTCATGAGAATCTATAAAATATGCATGTTTTTTAATTGGCGGATAAAAAGGGTTACCAATTTGACTGGATATTTTGGATCCCAATTCTCCCGAATTTGGATCATGTTCGGATGTTAGTGTCGGAATCTAAAGATCAAGAAATTCGAGCATTTCGTTTGTGTGAAAGAAAAAGTGAAATTCTTAGTTAACGTAAGGTGGCCAGCTAAGTGAGTTAATAGAAACCATCAGATTTAATTTCAGTGATCCGAATTGTCTATTCCTTGGCTCCAAAAAGTGAGATCTGTCCAATTTCCTCAGGATTAGGATTATCTTCCCTCCTCTTTTCATCACCTTCCATCCCTTCATCTCACATTTTCTATTTTGTCTTTCTTTTTCTATAAAAAATTAATATATGATGTTAACGTTGTTTAACCGTGACCATTCAAATAGAAGGTGAGGTAAAAAAAGAGGAAAGATAATCCTTCCCCATTTCCCCAATACCTATTATCTATCTTCCAATTATTATTAGCCAGTTGTCTCGTGGGCCACACATCATTTCACTGGGCTTAAAAAAAATATGGTCGAAATCCGGACTCCAGTTTATGTACTTTCATTCCAGACGACACTGCAACGGTGATATGTATGCCCTCAACCAACTAAAGTCCAAATTGTTAATGTACTGCAGCTAAGCACGAGCTGTTTTCTTCCTTTTTTT